GTTAATTTAAAGTTAACTGCTGGAATTACATGTAATTCAAAAAGTTAACTTCAAGTTAACTGTCAGAGCAGTTTTATAATACCCGCCCTAGTCATATATATTTGATACTTTCTTTACTACACTATATATTTCTCTCTCTCTTAATGTATAGTGTGTGAGTTCACTGGAAGAGAATTGATTAGTCGAAGCCAAAGCATCCTAGAGGGCTTTGTAGTTTATATTTGTCATATTCATTTATTTATTCTAACTTTGTGTCTTTGATTCTTATTAGGCATAGTTACGGTAATTTTTAAATATAAAGATTGCAAAATTTATCTTCTATTGTATTTTTTTCTAAAATCAACGTAACACTATCGTTTAGTGAATGGAAATTGGAAAAATAACAATGATCGACATAGTCGTATAAACCAATGACAAAACATAATCGGTAAGAGAGAGAGGGAGTACAGACTCGTTTTGACGGATACCGTCTCGTAACGTCATTGATTTTCAAATGCGTTTTGGCGCGAAGAGAGTTATGAATTATGAATTTCTATATTTTTTCACAGAAAAACTATTAGTTGAAAATTTAAAATTTATGTGGCAATTGACTTTTTGCAATATGAAAAATTTAATAAGAGAATAAAAAAAAAATCTGCAAATTCCTCATTGATTGATTCGTTTTGTTATTCATTATTTCGTCTAGTATCGGGATTTAATTTATAGACTGTCAGCTAATGACAGATTTTGCTGACCGATTTTTTCTCTTGGGGGATTTCCAACCATTGAAAATTATGTCAGTGCTGAGCTCAAAAAATGAAAATTTAGCGACCGGACGTCTGCTAAGCATATGGAAAATTTACTTTCCTTTTGTAGCAGCGGTAAAATATACCTACTTCAGTTGGCCGGCTTATGGGTATTTTTCTGGTTCCTAACGATATCAAATTTGATTCTGTCGATTGCCATTAGCGAGAAAACGATCAGCAACCGAATATTCTTTCACAAGATCGCGCCCTAATTTCAACCCTTTCAGTACGTGCAAACCTTATGGCTTTGGTTTTTCATTATTAGATTGTTCTATAAGGGGCCACGCCACAACACTTGAAAGATTGTAAGCGTTTCGTAAAAACGGAACTACAAAAAAACTGCTGCAGATATCGAGATGAACTAATTAAATTTATATAAACGAAGGATTATATAACCAGCCTACAAAAGTCTTTTTTTGATGTATTATAGTAGGTATATTTCCTAACTAGTGCGGAAAGTGCTACTTTTCCGCACGAGTTAGGAACACTATTTTTTCCACGAGACAGAAGGAACGTACCTACGTAATGTAAATTTTAGCACCAATATTTGACAACATTTCTTTTGCAACACCTGGTATTAAAAACAAATCGAGTAATTTTTTCTTAATATAGGTTAGGTACTCTTAAGTACAAATAAAACTCATGTTTTTGAAAAAAAAATAAAATAATTCTGAAATAATGTCCCTGATTCTGAAGACAATAAAATCGAGAACTTTTAACAATAATTTGTACGTTTGATGTATCTACTATGAAATTTTCGAAGTAACTTGACAAGAAAACTTTAAACCGAAATAATTTAATCAGTGGCGGATCTAGGACCTTTGGGGCCCGACGCAAAAAAAGTTTTGGGGCCCTGTCTTATTTTCGGCTAAATTGGTTGGTTAACTGACACCTACTAGTAAACACACAGGCACCAAAACTAAAAACCACCGAACTGTACAGGGTGCTGCAATTTGGAGTGTTTTAACAGGAAAAACACACTTCCCGGCCAGATATAGGAAAATTGACTTAGATGTCATGGGATCGATTTTCGAGAAACGTCGATTGTCAAAAACCGTATCACGATATCTTCAATGGTACCATTGATACAGGGCGATTTTCGATTTTCCCCTATTATGAAAAATGGCTATAAGTTTTTTATTTATCAATTTTTTTTGTTTCTGTAAAAACATTATGGAGACACTTTTTTGAACACAATCCAGTGACGGACTCGGTTTTTTTCTATATCGCTCCGATTCCGAGATATCGACCAAATTCCGATATTTTCAAATGAAGCACCCTATATATTAATAGCTCATTGGATAGCTCTATTTTTGCTGATTTCAATGATATAAAGTTCGATAGGTTTATCTCCGACAGTTTTCGAGAAAAAAAATTATATCTGTTTCGGTCATAAGAAACAATGTGTTAGACAGAGTTCTTCCTCATTCTCCTTACACATATAAAATCCTTTTCTAACACATTGGTCCTTACGATAAAAACAGATATAATTCTTTTTCTCGAAAACTGTTAGAGATAAACCTATCAAACTTTATATCATTGAAATCAGCAAAAACAGAGCTATCCAATGAGCTATTAATATATAGGGTGTTTCATTTGAAAATATTGGAATTTGGTCGATGTCTCAAAATCAGAGCGATATAGAAAAAACTGAATCCGCCACTGGATTGTGCTAAAAAAAGTGTCTCCATAATGTTTTTACAGAAATAAAAAAAATTGACAGATAAAAAACTTATAGCCATTTTTCATAATAGGGGAAAATCGAAAATCGCCCTGTATCAATGGTACCATTGAAGATATCGTGAAACGGTTTTTGACAATTGACGTTTCTCAAAAATCGATCCCATGACGCCTAAGTCAATTTTTTTCTAGTTGGTTTGCAAGTATGTTTTTCCTGTTGAAACACTCCAAATTGCAGCACCCTGTACAATCTGTACTCCACTGACAAGTTCCATCCATTATCTCTGTAGACCAGGGAACATAGACCCATGGCCGAATGTGTAAGCGATATAATTCTCGGAAAGCTGGAAATGGTTTAATCTTTTCATTCATGTGTAAAAAGTGTTTTTTAAAATTTCCTCAAACTTTCTGCTTTTGCTCTATACCGGGTGTCCGAATAACCTGGACATGTGCTGACTTTTATCAGTTTTTACTAATTACTCCTAAACGATGCATTTCTAGGCAAGTTTTACTCTTCTAGAAATTGGTGCCGTCTCTGAAGTTCTGGTGCGCAATTCTTGAAAAATATTGTATACGAAATTTTATATGAATTCGAACGCTTCCCATTTAATTTACATTGCTGTCAGTCAAATTCGATCAAATTTCGTATGCGACATTTTTCAAGAATTGGGCCACTGTCTCTGATCCTGTCTTCGCGAGTTCGTCAGCTTTTTCATTTCCTTCGATTCCTCTGTGTCCTGGCACCCAGATTGCTGTAGCTGGCGGAGTATACCCCTGCCCTGATACCAGCCGCAGTCTTCGACCCGTTTGTATACGGTTCGGTCCTGCTTTTCGATCTTCGGCTCCGGTATGCCCTGTTCCCATTCAGTTCTGCTTGAAAGCTGACGACACGTCAGAATAATTTCAACTTGGCTACTCTTTCCTCCAACTGAAGTAACTGCTAGATTGCATACAATGAGGGCTTTTTTTTTTTTTAATTTTATGAATTTTTCATACCTTTTTGAATTTTCGTTTTTTTTACTTTTTTGGCTTTTATTCAACTTTTTTAAGATTTTTTGATTTTTTCCAACTTCTGGAATTTTTTGGGGGTTTAGTTAACGTTCACGGTTTTTTTTTTGAAGTTTTTTGGTCTTTTCAAATGTTTTCGAATTCCATGAATTTTTTTATTTATCTAAATATTTGACTTTTTTTTTAACTTTTTTGGGTTCTTTAAATTTTTTCGAATTCTATGAATTTTTCTAATTTTTTTGATTTTTTCATCTTTTTCGTTTTTTTTTTAACTTTTTTGGGTTTTTTTAATTCTCCCGAATTTTATTTTTCTAGGTTTTTCTGATTCCTGTTTTTTTGAACGGGGTTTTGTCAAGTTTGGTCAAGTTTTTTCGGGTTTTTGTGAACTTTTAAGGATTTTTAAGTTTTTTCGGGTTTTATGAATTTTTCTAATTTTCTTGTTTTTTTTTCAACCTTTTTGGGTTTTTTTTAACCTCTTTGGATTTTAATAATATATTGTGTATTTAGGTGGAAAAGTGACATATTCTCGGCCGACGGTGTAAGTTGACGGGCGAGGCGTAGCCAAGGCCGGCAAACACCGAAGGTCGAGAATGTGTTTTTCCGACGAAATACACATGCTATTTTTTCTGCGATCGGTTAAATATCTGTTAAATGTTTGTCTTTTAGTTCCAATTATTCAGCGATACGAGAATCACTTTCCCGGCCTAGGCCGGAAAAGTGTTTCCCGTATTGTTATTCATTGATTCCTTAGCAACTATTGAAACATAATTGAAATACCAGAATATTGAGTTTTGCGACCTGTCAACCGGTCAATAATGCCGACATTTCTTGTCAATCGCAGAAATTTTTTTTTTGAAGTTTTATGAATTTTTCTTACTTTTTTGAATTTTTGATTTTTTATAACTTTTTTGACTTTTTTAAAACTTTTTTGGGAAGAGCGTTGCACTGGAAATGCGAGGGTTCCAGGTTCAAATCGAGGCAAGAATTTTTTTTATCAATTTCAATTAATACGCCTGCATGTCACTAAAAATAAACACACTGGAAACTTTAAAGTTATTTTAGAACAATTTGAAAGTTTTAAACTGAATCCTAATTTAGAACTGGGAACTTTTTTGAATTAATTTACAACACTTTAGAGCTTCAATAGGGCTCTGAAATACTCAAAAATCTGTCAGAACATTTTAGAAATTATTGAAAAACTTCAAGAATGCTCCCCAACTCCTTAAACCAAGTTAGAACACCTTAGAACTTCAATAAGCCATTTGGAACGTTCCAAAACACTTTCCAGCAGCATTTTAAAAGACATTTTTATTTTCAATTTGGACAAAAAAAGTAAAAAGTTACTTTGTGCTGCGACGCCCCATACCTACTACGGCCTAGGGCCCGATAGAGCCTTAAACCGTAACTGCCTGAAAAGTTCATCCTGGTAGGATTTTTTTTTTTTTTGAAAATCAACAATTTTCCTAGACTAATCGAAAAATAAAAATTTGGGGATAATGTCAGGATACCCTATAAAGAAAATACAAATACTATTCTAAAAATAATTTATTCCATACAAACTACCAACACTAGGGTATAGTTGCAAAAAAACAAAAGGTCAATAACTCATCTAATACTAGATCTTATCACATGCTTATCTTTATTTGTCATTTACACAACTTTCTTTATAAAAAAAATCAACTATACATGCTTAAGTAATAATAGTATTGAAAAAAATTTAAAAAATTGTAATCATAGTTTTATTTTTCATTCATAATCATAGTTACATAACAGCTTAAGCTAATTTTTTGTCAAAAAGGAATTCCCCAAGGGCTCCGTGTTTGTCCATGAGTTTTTCCAAATTGGATAGCTTTCCAGCAAGGTCACGTTGGCCTTCGTATTGTTCAGTAAGGAAGTCGCCAGTCAAATAGTCAACCAACTGGAGAATTTGTATTAGAAAAATAGTAATTTACACAACAAAACAACTTACATGATAGTCGTTGAAACTTGGGTCGCTTTCACATACAATAATCAAACCTCTGATTTTCTTGGTAACTGAAGATTCGAGAACCAAAGCGTCTCTCAAGGCGGTAGCCCCACTTGCCCAGTTGGTTACATTGGGAGCCAACTAAAAAAATCAAAACCAATAAATAAAAAACATTAATTAAAATAATATGTCTTACATTTTTGGTGATCATGTTGGACACATCAGAGGTAAGTTCTCCTCTCATCAAAAGATAATGGATGAGTTTAATGGCGTGATCGCGCTCCTCTCTTGCTGCTTTGAAAAACAACTCGGCAAATCCAGGTCGGTTAACGTCGTCTCTGGAAAAGTGAGCGGCCATCGCCATGTACTGCATGGAGGCTTTCAGTTCTTCCATGACGTGGTTTCGTACTTTGACCACGCACGGATTGCCCATGTCGATCCAGTCTGTTGGAATGTTTGGTTTCTTGTGCTCGCCTGGAATGAAAGGAATCTATTCAATCCTAAATTTGTTTTTAAAAAAACCATGAGCTCTTATGGACCATATAAGAATTATGTGCTTAATATGAGTCACAGCATCTTCTACAAGTTCGGGAAAATCTCCGTACACGGCCTAAAGAAGAAAAAGGAAAAAGACGAAACAGGCAAGGACCCAAAGGAACCCACCTCCTCAGGGTCCAAATCCGAGACTTCTTCAGAAGAAAAAAGAAGAAAAGAAGAAAGGGAAAAGACTCTCACTCAGTTAGAGGAAATTCCCAGCGAGAAATAGAATATGCTTCTGGGCGAATAGGAGGCCAAAACTCCACCACACGAGTCACCAGAAGAGACAAAAATAACAGGTAAGATGGCGAATTACACCAAAATAGCCCAAGTGAACACACATCACGCTAGGGGAGCATCTGCTGCCATAACGCGGTTGTTCACGTCGGCACACTTGGGGGCCGTGATAATTCAAGAACCTTGGATATATGTAGAAGAGGCAGATCCGAGAGGTAAACCGCAGGGGAATTTTGGTGTACAATCTTCAGGAATTAGTAAGAAATTAGAGAATTAGTGGCGAATTAGAGGAATTATTGGGGAATTAGAGAAATTACTGGGGAATTATGGAAATCCCCAGCTTTCCTACAAACTTTATTTTAACATGTAATAGTGTAAACCGAGGTGTAAACATCTAGATATTCTTGATTTATTCTACATCAAATTATGTGATAGATTTGGTGAATTAGTAGGGAATCAGTTGGGAATTAGAAAATAAGGGGAATTACAAGGGAATTAGTTTGGGAATTGAAAATATCAGGGAAATTAGGATGGAATTAGGGGAATTAGAGGGATGTAGTTACCGTCCTGAAAATTAGTGTACACATTTTTCTCAGCAGTTTACCCCTCGGAATATGCTTATACCGTGTGGAATCCATATTACATTAAGGATATAGAACTTCTTGAGAAGATTCAGCGCAGAGTGACAAAATTTTCCCTACAGTTGAAACAGTAGCCATATCCGGAAAGATTACTCCAATTCAATTTGACATCCCTTAAACAAAGAAGGCACAGAGGCGATTTAATTGAACCTACAAAATACCCAGTGATTACTATCAGTGTAATCTGATAAATATCTTTCTTCCATGTCGAAATCCTCATATTCGTGGCGATTCTAAGAAGCTTGAAAAGGAAAGATCATCAAAACTAACTAGGAAAAACTTTATAATATTGTAATTCTAATAATAATAAAAATAATAAACTATAAAATAATATAATTTTACTTTCCAACAATAAAGAAGATAATAAATAGTAAGCAACTCCACTTTTAACTATTCTTTGCTTGTACTGAGTTTACTTATCTTCAACCCTCTTTTAATCATTTTTTACAACTAGAATGTATTTTATATTTTTAGACAATTATTTGTATTTATATAACATCAACACATAGTCAATCGCTAAACAAATACATCAGAAATTTGTTAATTTGCCAGAACTTTCTACGCGAAAAACAAATATAGCCAATGGTTATTTCCTCCCAATAATTTACCTAGACTGATAATTATAGAACCTTCGACTGATTAAATTTGTTTTTCTACTGACATTTCATAATACGCTATTAAACGATTAAAATCTGTATTATAATGAACTTCATTACGATACAGATTTTCATTATAATACTCATTTTTAATATTATACAATGTTGATAGATGGCAGCACTAGTTAAGATATTAAACATTTTTAACGGTAATTTTGCGTAAAACAATTATTTTGATAACTATAAAAAATACTTCGAATTGTTTAAAAGTTACCTAAAGTTTGGGACAAAGAATAATTATTATGGAAATAATGAGTGATAAGGAAGAATTTTTACTTTTGTCATTTGTCATCACCAGTTAAGAAATTTTGAATTTTTTTTTTTTGAATGATGACAGCACTCTGTTTATGGCTTTTCCATGGTAATTTAGCGAAAAACAATAATTTCATGAAAAAAAGACTTCGAATTGTTATTAAAAGTTACCTAATGTTTGGGATAAGGCATTATTATGGAAATATTGAGTGATAACGAAGAATTTTCACTAACACCTCCAGAAATTACAGAAAGGGCGACAAATGCAGGTAATAATATACTACCGGACAAGTCCAAGAAAATTTGCGAAAAATTATATGGACAATTTATGGATTGGAAACACCAAAAACACATCGTCCTTCTCAGAAAATGTTTTGATAGTATATTTTGAAGAATTACAACAAAAAATGAAAGCTTCAACTGTATGGATTACTCAATTATAACATCTCTATTCAAAGTTAAGCGTAATGTTGACATATCTAAATATCATCATATCAAGTTTTATCAATGGCAGTAGAAAAAATAGTGTATGCAACTCTCATGTAATGGCCTCGCATGTTATATACGAAACTCGCCTGCGGCTCGTTTCGTATCCTACAACATGCTCGTGTATTAATGGCTATCATTACATGATCATTGCATAATATACTATTATTAGTCTAAGGGAAAAATAATGGTTATTGTCTGATAAGAAATGCAAATACAAATTTCCGGCATTGATAGTATTTATTTGACATTCCAATTAACTAAAGTAGAATTTATTGTTAGAAATTTACAGTACAGTAAAGTACATATACTTAATCTTTCGATAACAATAATTGTAATAGGTAATGGATAATTTTAATTAAAAGCACTTAAATTATAAATTAAGCAAAAAAAAACCCTTAAAGGAGAAATCTTTAGTAGAACAACCCTTGAGCAAATAGCAACCGATTTTATCATGATACTAGCTAATGACCCGCTGGGTTGCCAGCGTGTAAATACATTTTGAAATAATACACTTCTTTTCAAATTTTGTTGTTGATTTTCTATTTAATTTTTTTTTTAAACCGATATCAGAGTCGCTTGCTAGTGAGTCCAATGACGCATTTTAAGCACTCCAGAGCTGCTCTAGAGCGCCCCGGGCTGTTAATAGGCGTTTCAGTGTATCAGAGTTTTACGCAACCGAACTTTTTTTTTCGGGATAAAAAATAGCCTATATCACTCTCCTCTATCGCCGATTCGATTGACCGGATTAGATCGATCTGGTTCAATTTAAATGAACCACACTGTGTTCGATTCAAGCTGGATCAGTGCACCCTCATCAACAAAAAAATGATCTAGATCAGAAGAAGTTCACTTAAATTGAACCCAAATCGATCTAATCTGGGTCAATCGAATTCACCTTATATAGAGATACGTGGTATTAATTCAAGATCGGTCCAGCCGTTCTTGAATTCAAAAAATAATAAAGTTACGTCGGTTGAATGCAAGCCTTAATAAATGAAATATAGCAACGTTATTTCATGCTGTCAAAAAAAGTTGGGTTATGTTGTTATGTAATGTGAATGAGTTTGTTTACAATTAAATTAATAATTAATTCAAAATTAATTTCTTTTTCCGAGATGCGTAACCTATCCACAAACCTTCCTTGGGATGGCCATAACAACCTACCAAAGTTTCATCGTAATCGGATAAGTGGTTTTGGAGCGCATATCCGGATACCCCGTGAACTTTAATTTTTATATATATAGATATGTATATGTAAGGTGATTCTGTATTCAATAGCACTTGAACTTGGCTGATTATTCAAGGTATTAATATTAATAGGTACACATATACAGGGTGTTTTTTCATGTTGAGGTTTTCCTTTCATGATAACATACTTAAAACTTAAAAACACAAATGAATTTTTCAACTAACAGTTTCTCGAAAACTCAAAAATAAAGGAAATAATGGGTCATTTTAAATAATATCGAAAATCAAAGAAGTCCACCAGTAAAATCTTTATTTACAAAAAAAGTTAAAATTGTAACAAAAATTGTAGAAAATCTAAAAAAATAATGGAAATTCAAACACCTCATTCAAGAAAAAAATCAAATGGGTATGTCTCTGTGCAAAAACTTTATTTAATACAAAAAAGGTTAAATTCTAACTCTAACAAAGTTTTACCTTTTTTTGTATTAAATAAAGTTTTTGCCTCGTTTTTGCACAGGGATTATATGATTTTTTTGATTTTCTTAAATAAGGTTTTTGAATTTCCATTATCTTTCAGATTTTCTTAGCATTTTACCTTTTTTTTTGTATTAAATAAAGTTTTTGCACATGGGCTTAGGTATTTGACTTTTGATATTCTTTAAAATGACTATATTATAGTCTAGGAGGCAGTGACGATTTTCGGCACTTATTTTCCCAGTCAAACAACATGGATAAAATATTAGGGTTAGTAATTCTAAGCAAAATTCATATATTTTTAGGGGTGGGGGGGGGAGGGGGTTTCCGATTGGTTGAGGCGCAAAATGCGTTGAAGCTTATGAATGCACAGCCCTTTTTTTTTCAGTTAAAAAATAGGTCTACTAATGAGAAGTATACTGAAGTTACGTAGAAAAATAGTCCGGCTAATCTGTAAGTATGGATAATATGTCTGGCAAGTGAAAAATTCAAGATCCCAAAATTTTCAGCCAGACTCACTTTCCACTATCTGAGATAAGCCAAATTGTTATTTTCATTAGGGATGTCAATTTTTTTCAAAACACCGGTTTTTTCATTAACCGGTTAATTTACTAACAGTTATAACTGCCCGGTTATAACTGATATAAAACACCGGTTATTCCGGTTAACTGGTTGCTCGGTTATTTTGCCGAATAATATTAGAATAATTGCATGATTTATATTATAATGTAGGTAACATAACTTAAACAACAACATATCTTAATGATAAAAAAATCGGAAACTGTTACATGTTAAAAAGCATCAAAGAATACTTAAACTTTTCTAAACTGGTTATTTCTCTTCTTTCATTTTTAACATGTACAGTTGCGGCCATTGGAATTGGCACAAATATTGGAATTGGCACAAATTTTCGAACGCACCTTGTAAGGCATCAAAATTTGAATTTTTTTAACAGGCCGTTAATGCCAAAATTGTGTCAGTTTTAGGGTGGGTATTATAA